TGTATGTTATTTTCATTAATATATCCATGGTTATGCATGCCTTCCCTTAATACATGCATTTTTGTAAACATTGTTTGGTTGAAGAAATGCATTGCAGAATTCAGATAAGTGTGAATTTCAAAGAATAGCTGTCTTTCTGTTAGCATACCATTTAGGAAAGTGTGAAATTGATAGATCTGGCTTTCAATGCATACTGAATTGAATTTCTCCTCCACCCACAGCTGCTGCTATTGTTACACATCCTTGCCAATCAACTGCAAACTATCCAATAGATCCATATGTAACTTCTTCTTACCCCTGTTCTAAGGCATAGGAAAGCAGAAAGCTGACCCTTCCTTTACTCTTAAAATATTTCCATATAGTGCTGAGAAGTGGTTAACCTCATGGCATATATGTCACGTCCAGGATACTCACTGGAAGCTGTTAAAGTAAGGATGGGGGAATTCTGTTCAGTCTGACAGCTGCATTCCCCTGTGGCAACATTCTGGGGCTACATGCTGGTAGTGGATGAACCAAGTGGCAAAAGTAAGAAAAGAAATGGAAGCCTTATATGGCTTAGGACTCCAGTACCTCAAGGACTGTTTCTTCTCACAAGATGTCACCTGGATCCTGTAATAATCCTCTGGTGGTAGAGAGGCCTCTGACTCAACTGGATAAACTGGCGAATCCATCCGTAGTCTTTTATAAACAGGTTGTTCTTCAGATGCTGGGTGTTTCTGACAAAGGTCTTCTTCTGTGGATCTCACCACAACTTCCAGGAGCAGTTTTTCCATGGTTCTAATCTGGGCCTCAGCTCATAGCATCCTCTCACCTCCCTCCCCAAGCTTGCAAGGCTGAGCCTAATGTGACTTGCCTAAGGCTATCCTGTTTTCTTATGGCAGAGAAGAAATCTGGACTCCTGACTTCTCTGCTTTACATACAGCTTTCTTAGCCATGGATGCTATTTAAAAGATGCTTAATAACTTATCACAAGTAAACTCCTGTCTAAATTAATCCAGATTCCCATCAATTCCAGAAGGGTTTTGATGCCAGATGTGTTTGATGTGCTTTATATTCAGCTGCTTAGAAATACTTTTTTTTTAACATGTCTTCAAAATTTAATGTTAAGCAAGAAGAAGAAACAACAACAAACAAACAAAACAACAACAGCAACCCAGCAACAACCCATCACCCTTGGCGTCTGTTACAGATGGTCACTAACTTGCCAGTGCACTCAGTGAAGCATGCATTTCCAATCCGCTGAAACTCCACTTCCCTTTGTGCTCAGGAGACTTCTAGTGTAACGAGGAGTGACAGTATGCTTGGGTACGCGAGCAAGCACATGATATGCAGAGCATATGTTGGGTCTCACCTTCATCTCATAGCAAAGAGAATCAAAGTGGGTGGAGGAAAGAAATGATGCCTTAAGGGAAGTTCCTTCTGGTATAAGCACTGTTTGTAATAGCTCTCAGACAGTTCTAAATTGTAGTCTAGATTGTGATACAATCTCTAAAGTTGCAGTCTTACACTGGCAGCAATGCTCTGAGAAAGAGTGTAGTCACCTTGGGATGTTAAAGGGATGGCTGTACAGAAACTCCCTGGGAAGTTATGCTGGCCTTACCAAAAACTCCAAAGTCTCTACTTGAAATTCCTGAGATGTTTCTAAGGCTCGCCCAAGGCCAAATGGCAAATCCCTGTGAGGAACAAATTTAGTGTAGGGTTACCAGACATCCCCGGTTCCCGGGCACAGTCACCAGATTTACAAATCTGTCCCCAGACAAATTCCATTCCTGGAATGTCCCCAGATTTGCAAATCTGTCCCCGGACAAATTCCATTCCCAGAATGTCCCCAGATTTGCAAATCTGTCCCTGGGAAACGTGATAGCGGCAGCAGCCTGGAGCCAGCCTGGTAGCAGAGTTGGCTCTGGCTGGCTTCAGGAACTGCTCGCTGCCATGGCGCCTGCTGTTTTTCCTCTCCGGAAGTCCCCATATGATGTGTCTTGTGCACAGCACATCGTATGTGGACTTCCGGAAAGGAAAAAGGGTGGGCGCCACGACCGCAAGCAGTTCCTGAAACCAGCCAGAGCCAACTGTGCTACTAGGCTGGCTCTGGGCTGCTGACTGCCGCCACCACAGCCGAAGGGGAACCGGGGGTGTCTGGCGGTCCAGATCTCCTGCCCCCTGCCCCATTTGTTTTGACTGATTGGGGGAGGCTCAGGAGTCACGGGTGGGCGGCCATTGCCCAGTTTTTAAAAACTCTGCGCATTTATGTTTCACAGGGTGCGAAAGAAGGGCTTTGCACCTTTATACAATATGCATGTGTGCTTGGGCCCAGGGTCTTTTGCCTCACCATCCCCACTACTGACCCACTGTTGCTACTCAGCTTCAAAAAAAAAAAAAAAAGTCCCCCGGATTCATTGAAAAAAATCTGGTAACCATAGTTCAGTGACCTACTGCTATTTGCTCAGATATGGAATACAGTGGTGCCTCGCAAGACGAAATTAATTTGTTCTGCGAGTTTTTTCGTCTTGCGAAGCACGGTTTCCCAAAGTCTTCAAAATCACCAAAGTCTTCAAAAACCTCAAAAAAAGGCTACCACACCGCGTGCTATGAGTTGCTCCTTGAAGTCACCCTGGGTATTAACGGTTTTAAGAAAAAGGAAACAAACTTGCAAGACGTTGCTTAGTCTTGCGAAGCAAGCCCATAGGGAAATTCATCTTGCGAAGCAACTCAAAAAACGAAAAACTCTTTCGTCTTGCGAGTTTTTCGTCTTGTGAGGCATTCGTCTTGCGAGGTACCACTGTACCAGAATCTTAACCTATTTCACAACACCGAAGCACAGTCTTCATGTATTTTTTCCTGTCATATATGATAGGGCACATTTAAAGACACTCATGGGCACACCTTTTGTTGAAAGGGTATGGATGTTGTAAACTTTACAGCAAAAAGAAAAGAAGTCATGCAATGCTGGTCATATGCAGAGCAGTATTGCCAGTATTACAAAGAAAGATAAGATGTTTGTATTCTTTGTTCCAGCTATTGAGGGGATAGTTGAATAGGTAGCCCATTTACGAATGAGAGTTAAATTTGATTCAGTTAGCATTTAAAGGTGAACCTACCAAATTCACACTTTTGAAAACAATATGCAAATAGAAACACAGCTGTCCTTCAGAATCTCTACTTACTGGAATGTTGTAATGCAGTTCTGAGGTAAAACAAGTGTGTGATAATGCATCTATTAGGGGAAAATAAAATCAACATATTAATGAAAATAACATACATTTAATGCATTGCCTTGGGAAAAATTGCATGCAAAAATTCATTTGATAGTCAAAAGTGCATACAAAAATGTGTTTGTTATGGTAAATTTGCATTGAAATGCTGATGAATTATTACGCCATTCTCCAAAAGCATAGCAAAGTGACTGAGGGACAAAAGGAATTGGGGAGAAAGAACACACCGGTCTTTCTGCTCACAAGTCAGAACCATAGGACCATTTGATCTAGCATGCCTCCTAGCTGTAGTTCTGCCTATAAAAAAAGGACCAGGCTGAATTTCATTTGGTTGAGTGCCAGCATGAAAGTGGGGAGGAAGGAGAGAAAATAGCTGGATAACAGGTGGTTGCTTACCTTGTCTTAAAGTATCAGGTTGTGTTATACACACACACACACACACACACACACACACACAGCATATATGCTTTTTGTATTACTTGTTTGTACTGTGATGTTGTTTATTAGTAATACTGTAGTGTCGAAGGTCAGGTGTGCTGTTTCATTCTTACCTGGCTCTGGGTGATAATTAATGGCCCTTAGCTAACTAATAAAGACTTTAAAAAGGTAAAAGTAAAGGTAACCCTGACTGTTAGGTCCAGTCGTGGACGACTCTGGGGTTGTGTGCTTATCTCGCTCCATAGGCCGAGGGAGCCTGCATTTGTCCGCAGACAGCTTCTGGGTCATGTGGCCAGCATGACTAAGCCGCTTCTGGCGAACCAGAGCAGTGCACGGAAATGCCGTTTACCTTCCAGCCGGAGCGGTACCTATTTATCTACTTGCACTTTGACGTGCTTTCGAACTGCTAGGTTGGCAGGAGCAGGGACTGAGCAACGGAAGCTCACCTCGTTGCAGGGATTCGAACTGCCGACCTTCCGATTGGCAAACCCTAGGCTCAGTGGTTTAGACCACAGCGCCACCTGCGTCCTTAATAAATACTTTACTTTTGATGAATTATCATGAGGTTTAAAAAAAGAAATTGCCATAGAACTGAATTTAAGGTTGGGAAAATGAGAAATTGAGGGAACAAAAATTGATAGGTATTTCCATCACACCCCTTGTCACATGCCCCCTGAGACCAGTATTCCAGGCAGTTAACTGATTTCACCTTACCCTAATTCCAGATCCAACCTAGGAAATTTGTGACAGAGAATTCATTTATAATTTGAGAAAGAGTCAGGCAATGACTTGAGTTGCTGCTACAGAGCTCATCAAAGGCTTTGTTTTGCCTGCCAGATGTTTGGTGGTCTGGGAGTTTATAGCATGTCAGTAGCTCAACACATGGCCCAGTTTCATCACCTTGCAGCAGAACAGGCAACATTTCCACTTATGTGGCTTCAATCAAAGCGGGATTTCTCTTTTGGCAAAATCCAATGACAAACTAGCTTTGTGCAGACCCATTCCACTCTCTTGAGAAATGTCAAAATGCCTTTGACTTGCTTTGAAATTCAGATGTTTAGCCTGAGGAAGGTCCCACCAATTCATTCCAAATGTTGCTTTAGGTGAGATTTCAGTGGCAGCCCTAACAAAGATCTCAGGTCTTCTAATGAATGACAAGAGTATTAAGTTGGGAGTTTGGCAAGTTTGCTCAAGTCAGGCCCAGATGCAAACAGTGACGTATTTCAACAGCCCTTGGAAGAACTACATCTTTCATGGTCCTCTGTGATGCAGCATGCTGTCATGGTGATGAGGAAAGGGGCAGAGAGAGAGAGCAAAGGGGGGGAACCATTTGCCTTTCCTTTCTTTGCTCCTCCTTCACCTCCTATTACTACCCCTACTTGGAGACAAAGCTATCATAGGTGTGTGTGCTCTGAAGTCTGAGGACCTCTGAGGGTAGAGAACTAGTAATGGTGACAGGTAGGGACATTTTTCAGAGCCTCTGGATTGGCTCAAAAAGGAGGAAAAAGTAGTCTGTAAATTTCTGAGTTAATCAAAGGTAAGCTTGGGAGAGCTCATTTAGCTGTAGTATAAGTAATACATTTCAGTGTGTGATACCCTTTGTCCAAAGCTACCTGGAATGCACCTGTATGCCATGCCTATTGGGCTGCTTCCCTTTGGGATCCCCCCCCCCCACTTTGGCAAATCTTAGTTGTGCAAATCCCACTGATACCTCCTTCTTGTGCTTTATGCAACCACCAGGTTTAGCAGCCATTAACAATGATAACAACAGATGTGATGTGAATCTCTTCAGCATTCTGGAGCAGGGCTGAACGTGTGGTCCTTCAGGTGGGACTACAAATAACATCATTCCTGGATATCAGCCATGCTGATTGAGGCAGGTGGAAACTAGAGCCCAATAACGTATGAGGAAGAGCTTCACAGTGTACATTCCTGTTACAGTGGTTAGGCCAAGTAGGTTTCAGAGTTTACCTCCTCTCCACAGCCCTATTACAATCTCCAATTTGAGGTTGCCACTGGTTTACTAGCCCAAAACAGCTGACATTTATGAATATTGTTGATATTTTATTTTTAAGCAAGGGGATGGGAATGCAGACACACACGGGCCCCTCCTCAAAGTGCAGAAGGCACAGATCCATGAGAAACAAACATCCCACCCAGGCCCTTCTTATTCAGAAATGATCTGGTGGTTGTTCACTCCCAGTCCAAAATGTGTGAGTAGCTCCCCACTGCCCAATGGGTTTTAAACCCCCTTTGCCACTCAAGACATCTATAGAGAGAATGGTTTTAAAGTATACTTCAAACCTGTCTAATCACAGGGACAAAGGCACTCTGGGAAGTGTCATTCTGGCCTAGGCGGTGGGTGGTATGAAAATTGACTCTCAGAAAACCACAGCACCATTTTGCAGGGGCAAGGGCAAAACAAAACAAAACAAGACAAGACCATGAGGCTAAGCCAGTAACTCATCATCATCATCATAAATTTTATTGCACTAGCCAAAGGCTAGTTCAAAAAGGACACAAACAAAAACAAAAAGGAATTCAAAAAGGAAACAAAAACAAAAACAACAGTAACCATAAAAACACCAGGCACTACAAATACAATAAACTACGGTCACGTCTCCTAGAAATTATTTGTTGCATACGATAGAATAGCAGGGGGTTCTCAGATAGAATGTGCCAGCTTAAATGTCCGAATCACCTTTGCAATTGACCACTATTTTATCTAGTTCTTTTCTCCTGATCTTCTTAGCTGCCAACGCATATAGTGCTACTTTCTAAGTTACAAAGTCATCAGTATCACTCAGCAGCCATTTCACCCTTTCCACCCTGTTCAAGTGTGTTCCATTCGTAAGCAGGGGTTTTATAAATCTGTCTCTTGGTTCTATATATAGCAGGCAATGCAATAAATAGTGGTATAGGTCCTCTACACATGTTTGCCCACACAGACAGAGTCTCTCCTTGTACTGTACTTTGCTGTACCAACCATCCACCGCCACCAAGGTCATCGATTGTAATTGTAATTCTGTAAAAGCGATTCTTAATATGGCAAGTGGGAGCTTTGTTAGATAACTAGCTCGGCTGTGCTCCATTTTGATAAGTGGGAACCATGGTGAACTTTTGGTAGAGACAATCATGTTTAAATCCCTTTCTGCATCGGACCAGGAGAGACAATCTCTTAAGTGCCTCTTATCCATCTTCATGACCACCTGAAGATATTGTAATCGATATTGGGCCAAGAGGCGTTGGATGCCATCCTTCCAACATTTGGTCTGTTCCCATTCTGTGTGGGACATAGAAGGGAATCTCTCCTCCGAGAGAGATTGAAGTCTTTTCACATAGTTTAGACATAGATAGTCAGTTCTAGCCCGTATTGTTGTCATGTCCGCTTCCAAGCAGAGAAGAGCAGCTGGGGTCCCACTGGGGAGCGAGGACACTTTCCTGAGCAATTTGTTCTAAGTCTTTGTTAGCATTTGGATCCATGCCCCATATTGCTACTCCATAGAGCATCTGGGAAATAATTCATACTGTAGGTGTTGCACCTGCACATTCCAACAGCAGTCTGCACATGGCACCAACCTCACACTCAAAAGAGGGGCCAGTACCCCAGTAACAGAGCACCTACACTCTGCTCCAACCAAGGAGTTTTTTTCCAGTGAGTCTGGGTCTTGCTCCAAGGCCAGCTGGAGAAGGTCTTGCAGCAGGGAGCAGTTCCTTCAGCCTTCACTGCAGCAGATCTCACCATTAAGGGCCTTATGTTAAGTCCTGCTGATTTCATAGCATCATCTTGGCTATATTGCTCTGAGGAGTAAGTGGTAGGACTGCATAGCTTGAAAAATGACAGAAAGACTGGAAGACAGACTAACTGACTGACTCTCACACCTGCATGCAGCTATATAAGGAGGGCTCAGATAGCCTGGAACCTTCTGGTCAACAATGATTACTAATAAGAAAGGACTGCTGAGTCACTACAGGATGCTGAGTCACTACAGTGGTACCTCAGGTTAAGAACTTAATTGGTTCCGGAAGTCCGTACTTAACCTGAAGCGTATTTAACCTGAAGCGGACTTTCCCATTGAAAGTAATGGAAAGTGGATTGATCCGTTCCAGACGATGAAAAACACCCCCTAAAACAGCAATTTAACATGAATTTTACTGTCTAAGGAGACCACTGAACCATAAAATGAAGGCAATAATCAACGTACTGTACTATAAAATAAATAAGACAGTATTTTAGATGAAAAAAATTAACATTTTTTTTTTCCTTTCGTGCACTGATGATAGTCAGTTTGGATTGGGGGGGGGGCTTTTATCCATTTCTGCAGCCACACAATCAATCACTAGCTGAACTGGGTTCCACACAGGCACAAAAACAAGTCACAAAAATGAAGTCACAAGCCACAGTCACAAAAGCAAAGTCACAAGTCAGTCCCATAAAATGAAGAACAAGTCACAGTCCAAAAACCAAAAAAGCCACAGAAACCAAAATGCAAAAAAATAGCAAAAACAAAACCTCCAAATATAACTTCTGTGTTGCGTGGGTGCTCAGGACTCAACAGCTGGCAGACTCAACAGGAAGCCTCTGATTAGCAGCGAAACACTCAACAGGAACCAGACGATGAAAAGCGACCCCTAAAACAACAATTTTACATGAATTTTACTATCTAACAAAGCCATTGATCCATAAAATGAAATCAATAAAACAGTACAAAATGAAAATGTGATTTTTTTCTTACCTGTGCTGATGATAGTCACTGTTGGACGGGGGCTCAGGGTCCTCTTCCACAGTCACAATCGGTGATTTCTCTCCTGCCATTCCTTCCCTTGCCTTTTTTACACCACTGCCACCAGGTTCAGACTCACTGGATCTTTTCCTTACCAAAAATTTTTTGATTGAGACTTGCTTTTGTCATTGTTTAAAGATTTGTCTAAAGTGAGAGATTATGTTATCATTGTAGGTGTTAGCAGCATAATTTAGAGTCGCTTTATCCGGGTGATATTTTTCAGCAATAGCTTGCACTTCAGCCCGTTTTGCAAGCAGTTCTTTGTTGCTGTGGGTGCAGTTTCTCTCCCCCCCCAAATATTTTTATTAGTTTTTTCACAAACATAAATAAAACTTAATCTTTTACAATCAACATTTTATGTCATCTTATTTACACCGTGTAAGTTCACGCCCGGACTTCCTTCCTTCCCTGCTTCGGTTTTCTTAGTTTATATCTTCTCTTGCAGATTCTTATTTGCCTTCTATACACATCACAGGATTTATGTTAACCCTGCTACAGTTTTTAGACTTCTACAGTTAATTCTTATATATGCAACAAATTTACCCCACTCTTCTTCAAACTTTGTCCCTTTTTGGTCTCGAATTTTATGTCATTTTAGCTAATTTTGTATATTCAAAGAGTTTGGTCTGCCACTCCAACACCGTTGGCATCTCCTGTAATTTCCACTTTTGAGCCACGAGGATCGTAGCTGCAGCCGTAGCATATTGAAATAGTTTACGATCCTCCTTTTTCACCTCCTCCCCTATTATCCCTAATAGAAAAGCCTCCGGTTTTTTAGGAAATGTATACTTAAAAAGTTTCTTCAGTTCATTATATATTAGATCCCAAAAGTTTTTCATCTTAGAGATCCCCATCCTTTAGTTTACATTTCCAATAGGATTCGTTACTCAATTTATACATTTTTGCCAATTTAACCGGGGTGATATACCACCGGTACATCATTTTTAGTAAATTTTCTCTTAAGGTGGAGCACGCTGTAAACTTCATACCTTCATTCCATAATCTTACCCATTTATCGTATTCAATATTGTAACCGAAGTCGACCGCCCACTTTATCATGACTTCTTTTGTTAACTCATCCTTAGTGTCCCATTCCAGGCTGTAGGTGCAGTTTCTCTGCTCTCCTCCTCCTCCGAAGATATTTCCTCAGTTGCCACCATTTGCTGCTCCATCAGAATGTTTTGAAGTTCTTCTGTGGTGAGCTCAGTCCTGTGCTCCTCCACTAACTCCTCCACATCAGCACAACTCACTTCCAAACCCATGGAATTTCCCAGAGACACAATTTCCTTAACAATAGGAGCAACAATAGCCTCTGTTACTTGTTCTGTTACTTGTTCTGGGACAGTTTCTGGCCACAATTTCTTCCATGCTGCCTTCAGTGTTCTCTGAGTCACATCCCTCCATGCTTTGTCTATCATATGCAAGCAACGGAGGATATTAAAATGATTCTTCCAGAACTCTCTTAGAGTTATCTCTGTGTCCGAGGTCACCTCAAAGCACCTTTGGAACAGTGCTTTGGTGTAAAGCTTCTTAAAATTAGATATGACCGCTGGTCCATGGGCTGGATGAGAGAAGTTGTGTTGGGGGGCAAAAACTTTACACTGATGAACGCAAACTCTTCCAACAACTCATCTTTCAAGCCTGGAGGGTGACCTGGAGCATTATCCATAAGAAGCAGGCACTGCATTGGAAGATTTTTGTCCTGGAGGTATATTTTCACACTTGGCCCAAACACTTCATGAAACCACTCAATGAAAAATTGCTGGTTACCCAAGCTTTGCTGTTTGCCCTCCACATCACATGCAATTTGCTTTTTATGACATTGTTCTTCTTAAATATCCCGGGGTTCTCAGAATGGTAGACTAGCAAAGGCTTCAACTTAAAATCTCCACTTGCATTTGCACAAAATAAAAGGGCTAGCCTGTCTTTTATGGGCTTGTGTCCTGGCAATGCTTTCTCCTCTTTTGTGATATAGGTCCTCTTTGGCATTTTTTTCCAAAAGAGGCCTGTCTCATCACAGTTGAAAACTTGCTGGGGAACGAAGCCCTGCGACTCAACATAATCTTTAAATTCCAAAACAAATTGGTCAGCCTCTAATTTGCTGGCACTGGCAGCTTCACCATGTCTCACAACACTGTGGATGCCAGTTCTCTTCTTAAATTTGTCAAACCACCCATGGCTTGCCTTGAAACTCTCAATCTCAGCACTTGGTCCAGGGGCGCTTGCGATGAGGTCAGCATGCAACTATAAAGCTTTTTCACAAATTATGCTTTCAGAAATGCTGTCACCAGCCTCCTGTTTTCCAGTTATCCATATTAAAAGCATTTTTTTTCCATTTCTTCCATTGTCTGTGTTCGCTGCTTGAGTGTTTTAACACCCTTTGCAATGCTGGCCCCATTAATAGCATCCTTATTTCTTAAGATGGTACCAATTGTAGATTTGGGCATCCCAAACTGCATTGCCAGATCACTTACACGGACCCCATTTTCATGTTTAGAAATAATTTCCTTCTTTACCTCAACACTTATCACAGTTCTCTTGCCTTTGCTGCTTTGCTTCATGTCAGCAGTCCCAGGAAGCTGAACTGAGTTCCACAGAGCCCCAAAACAATAGCAGAAGGCAGAGTCCCCCAGAAGTCCCCCAAACAAAGGCACAAAACAGAGACAAAGCACAGGGCACAGGCCCAGGATAAACAAATCCCAAAATTCCTTGCAGAATCCCAAAATTTTCCACTCCCCCCCCTACCACAGGGTATGTGGGCTTTCCTGGCTAGGTGCCACCCATCTTGCTACAGCTAGGGGTGGGGCAAAGGGCTTTTCGGCAGAGGCTCCTTTTGTTTCTCAACAGCTTCATTGCTCTTTGTCTTTGCTAGGTAAGTGATCCTTACCTAACGTTGGGGCTGGGATCCTGTGGATGTCTTAGGGTTGTTGCAGAGGCCTTCTGCAGCTGGAGCCCAGTCACAGAGCCTTTGCAGGCTTGCGAATGTTGGGGCTTAGCCGCCCGGCCTCTGCAGGCCCTGTGGAGAGGCATCAGGAGAGGCCTTGGCCTCCTCGGATTTTGGGCCTTGTCTCCTGGCACCGGCAGAGGCCTCGGAGAGCTCTCACAACTTACTTCTAGGTTAAAAATGTTTGTAACCCGAAGAAACGTAAGTTGAAGCGTTCGTAACCCGAGGTACCACTGCACAATACATTTTGCATCTAGGAAACACTCTAGGCCATTTTTAGGCCGTGGCAGATCTCACATCCATCTCTCAGTTAAGAAACTCAGTAGATGGTGATTAAATCTGAGAAACACAAGACTTTGGGGGACATTTTCTTGATTTTCATTCTCTCAGTTATGAAATCCATAAATAGAAAGATATATTATTCACAATAAAGTTTTTTTAAAAAGTTACAGAAACAACCTGAAAACATTTCCACATCTCTATCCAGATGGTCTCAATGACACTGTTTCAAGAACCATGCAATGAATTTGGTGCTGCCTTCCCAAATAATTCAAAATGAAGCCCTAAAACAAGAGTTTCAAGATAATATATACTGCTTGTGATTCTTGTGAGCTGTGGTGCTCATCTACCCTATGTTCCCTGTGTTTGCCCATTCTCTTTGTGCTGCTTTTGATTTGTTGAGATTCTCTTCTGGTGGCACATATCACAGGCAGAGAAGTTCAGAGGTCACTTATGAAGCTCCACAGCTTAAGGGGAAGCTTCCATCTTTATCTGAGGCAGGCTCCAAACACAAGTCATCTTAGAAAAAAGACTAAGCATGCTAATAACCTGGAAAAATGCTTTTGTCAATAATGGGAAGTCCTTGATCAGTGCTTTTTACCCCTCCAAGAAACTTGTTTTTCAGCCTATATGTACAAATACAGAAGATTTATTTTATATGTGACAATAGCAAGGAAGCAAACAAGTCTGAAATTAAAAACAGAGACAACAAAAACAAGGCTATTTTTTTATATATGGTTACAAGCAGTTACCTTGGAAAGACTAAATTACTTTATCTCTGTATAGTTCGCTAGCTGGTTTAATTACTAATGAGAGCTGGTGGCTACTTGTTACTGAACAGACTGCCCTTCTTGAGTGTAGGATGAATGGAAACAGATGAATGTTGATTTCAGGTTTTTCCCCAGTTTGCATTTTTCCAGTCTTACGTTTAGTTCTACACATTTCAAAATCAATTTGCAGTTTTTTTAAATCTTCAAGAACATTCATCAGCATTTCAGTGCACATTTCTTCATACATACAAAAATTTACTATGCGATTTTACCTAAGATACACGTTTTTGCAAACAAATTATCTTCTACATTTGTTGTTGTTGTTTAGTCGTTTCCGACTCTTCATGACCCCATGGACCAGAGCACGCCAGGCACTTCTGTCTTCCACTGTCTCCCGCAGTTTGGTCAGACTCATGTTTGTAGCTTTGAGAACACTGTCTAACCATCTCGTCCTCTGTCGTCCCCTTCTCCTTGTGCCCTCAATCTTTCCCAACATCAGGGTCTTTTCCAGGGAGTCTTCTCTTCTCATGAGGTGGCCAAAGTATTGGAGCCTCAGCTTCAGGATCTGTCCTTCCAGTGAGCACTCAGGGCTAATTTCCTTAAGAATGGATGCGTTTGATCTTCTTGCAGTCCATGGGACTCTCAAGAGTCTCCTCCAGCACCATAATTCAAAAGCATCAATTCTTCGGCGATTAGCCTTCTTTATGGTCCAGCTCTCACTTCCATACATCACTACTGGGAAAACCATGGCTTTAACTATATGGACCTTTGTTGGCAAGGTGATGTCTCTGCTTTTTAAGATGCTGTCTAGGTTTGCCATCGCCTTTCTCCCAAGGAGCAGGCGTCTTTTAATTTCGTGACTGCTGTCACCATCTGCAGTGATCATGGAGCCCAAGAAAGTAAAGTCTCTCACTGCCTCCATTTCTTCCCCTTCTATTTGCCAGGAGGTGATGGGACCAGTGGCCATGATCTTCGTTTTTTTGATGTTGAGCTTCAGACCATAATTTGCGCTCTCCTCTTTCACCCTCATTAAAAGGTTCTTTAATTCCTCCTCACTTTCTGCCATCAAGGTTGTGTCATCTGCATATCTGAGGTTGTTGATATTTCTTCCGGCAATCTTAATTCCGGCTTGGGATTCATCCAGCCCAGCCTTTCGCATGATGAATTCTGCATATAAGTTAAATAAGGAGGGAGACAATATACAGCCTTGCCGTACTCCTTTCCCAATTTTGAACCAATCAGTTGTTCCATATCCAGTTCAAACTGTAGCTTCTTGTCCCACATAGAGATTTCTCAGGAGACAGATGAGGTGATCAGGCACTCCCATTTCTTTAAGAACTTGCCATAGTTTGCTGTGGTCGACACAGTCAAAGGCTTTTGCATAGTCAATGAAGCAAAAGTAGATGTCTTTCTGGAACTCTCTAGCTTTCTCCACAATCCATAATACAGCATGTTATTTTCACTAATATATTCATTTTTATCCACATCTTGGCCTGATTTACTGTATGCATTTTTGCCCACACTACATGGCTGGAGAACTGCTTTTCAAATTTGGGAAAAGTATGAATTTTGAAGGATGGCTTTCGTTTGGTTTATGTATTGTTCCAGAAAGTGTGAAGCTCACTTGTAAATGCAAACTGAATTGAATTTCTGCCTCATCCTCGGGAGAGTTT